TGGACCCATAATAGTGATTATTAGTTAAGTTAAGTTTTGCCATAATCATGTCTTTTTCCATAATCAGGTAGCTGAACAACATTGGTAAAAAATGTATACATTATATATATATATATTTCTATTAATCATTTTCGGCCTTTCGGCATTCGGTCAACTGTTTCCTATTTTCGGTATCGGCCAAGAATTTCCCATTCGGTGCACCCCTAGTCTTCGGTATTTCCAGACAAGTGGCTACTGAAATCAATCTTACTAACTGCTGTCTGTGCAATTCTCGGCACGAGTTGGCAGACTTTATTTTGCTTACTTTAACATCATTTTTCATGGTGGGGCTAAGCCATTTCTTGTTATGGGTGTAGCCTAAACCAGGCATACCATGGCCCTGCCACTGGTGGGATGTATAGGGGGGGGGGGCATTCTGCACATGCGTTAAATGCGTTAAATATTTTAACGCAATTAATTCAAAAAATGTATTACCGCCGTTAACGCGATAATTTTGACAGCATTGCAAAAAACATTTTGCTCATATGTGTTTTCATTTATCCTTATTCTTCTTTGGTAGACAAATGTGTTATTATTTAGCTCTTTATCATCAACAGTAGAATAAAAGCCATTCCACAACTCTGGGCTAAAGCAACACTGAAGCGTGCACTGTGAGCTGAAGCACTGCAGCAGGATCATCAGGATGCAGAGAGAGCACTTTTGTCTTTTTACCTTTGGACAGATGATGCTCTCCACACTGCTCTCGAGGTTGCATTCGAAGACATGAGCCTTGGTCAGCTTTTTGTCCCAATGGGCCGCTAGCCAGATCTTGGCCAGCGGCCCACGTTTGCTGAGGACAAAGTGGGCGTAAAACATCGCCCTGGTTCCCCTGGCTCACACAGAGGTATGATTCACCTGGAAGAGAATATTGATTAGTTTATGCACAGAGAAAAGTGATTCTAGAAAGGCCAAACTTCAAGAATATTATTCCTTAAACGCATTTGAGAAACAATGTCGTTTTAACATACCTTTAGCTAATTATCACAGTTCATGATTAGAAAAAATGATTTCTTAATAGAATATATGCTTGGTTATTATGAACAGTTTGAACATTTCACTGACATCAAGCTTTTCAGAAAATCGTGCTCATTAATGTTGGGGGAAGTTACAAGCAAACCTCAAGAAAAAAACAGCTGGAACTGCACTTATCAGAATAAGCAGGCTATCAAACATCCAACTAATCTTTAAAGAAAAGTTTTGTTTATATTGGCATAAGAAAGAAATCCAAATAAATTAAGACCGCCAAAACACATTTAGAGATTGAGAAATATGTATTGAAACTCGGGGATATGTTCCCTCTTCAGCAAAGAGGAGAAACGTTAAGCCCAAATGCCCCTTCAACGTTGAATGGTTTTGGCAAACGTAATGTTAGACATAGATGGTTCTTAATTCATTATAACCGGCAACTCATTTAAAAAGAATTTGGGACTACTATATTCCAAATGAATTTATTTCATTACAACATTTGCTAATCTTATCTCGCCTCATGGGATAACGAGCACAAACATCGATACAATTCCTTCGAAGCACTCGTTGTGTCTCTTGCTGCTTAATTTGACGAAATGTTAACTTAAACCGTTTGTCACATTACTCCTTGAATGTAAAAAAATATAAAGCACGGAATGAGATTTTGAAAATGAGATTTTAAACAAAACAAGCGCCGACTTCACTCAAGTTCCGCCTATTTCCCTACCAGAGAATCAAACATTAGAAATGCACATGTCTGCCTACGGTAACAGACACTTTTCGTGTTTCCAGTTCATTAAAAATAACTCAGCGTGGTTTGTGTGCAATAAATGCGATGTGATGAGTTTAGGGCGCCAAGGGGTTGGTCAGCGCCAGTTAATAGTCGGCGCCATCAAGTGGGATGAACTAAATTAGCCGCCAGCTAACTACAAAATGAGCACTGAAGCCGATTCATACAGATTAAGGTTAATTGAAATAGTTATATATTTAAAAAACGGTGGACAAACCACAATTTGCAAATGAAACAACAGTAAAGAAACCGGAACGAGGCGTCTATCACAACCTACTCCTACTTTTTTCTCCTCTCGTAGCACAACTGTATCGTTAGCTGGTGGCTAACGGCTCCATGTACAGTGAAGGCCGCAATAAATCCACACAAACGTGCATGCTTATTTCACCTCGTAAAACACACAAAACAACCCGAAAATATTTCAGCTGCAAGCACACTTACTGGGAGCACCCCCTTTACGATGAAATCCCAATGATTATGTTATTTCTCCCAGCGAATTCTCCCCTGTTGTACTCATTAAAACAGCCAAGATGGCGCCAGTCGCCTTCCTCCCGCTCACCGCTGTCCTTTTAAAATCGGCAGGATGTTTACAGTCAAAAATGGCGGAGGAGGAGTCTGTTGCTGAGGCCGACGCTGACAGACGGCGCACAGTGAGCAGAAAGTGGAGACAGGGGGCGCTGTGTCACAATGTCACAATGCTTACCAATACATTGATATGGTCATCAAAATACAGTGCATCGTGTTTTACATAGTAGACTAACACATTCCATGCATATCCTATTATCCGATTAGTACTAAATTGTTGTTGTTTCATAATATTCCTAACTTTGTTAAGGGGTTCACTTCTCACTGAGTTACCCATTGTCCAATAAAGTGTAGTAGGTCATAGTAAGTATTACCTCTGTATGAATCTACTCATGGCTGCTGAAGGCTTCTGATAGACACTTAACCTACCTTTATACAGATTATGGTTCTACCCAGGCCCATAACAAATCACTATCAACAGAGTGGCCCCAACCAAACCGGCATCTTTTAGGTAATGCACATTTTTCCCAGTAGGCCTTTACCTTTTGACAACTGATTGTTTTATTCAGTAGTCTCAGTTGCAGGGCTCTGCTCCTGCCCGCTCCTCTGCTGGTAAGCCAGCAGAGCCATCAACATTATCTTGATACACATGAACCAAATATCCTGCTATAAAAACTCACATCTCTGCTGTCAGAAAGTAAGTCGCCTAATGATTAATTCAATTAATTAGGGAGGTGTGTGGCGTAGTTCAAACCCCACTGCAGTCAGCACGTCGTTGTGTCCCTGGCAAGACACTTCACCCTAAATTGCTCCTGTGGGGATTGCCCACAGTATTGAGTATGTAAGTCGCTTTGGATAAAAGCGTCTAACAAGTAACATGTAATGTAATATAATTAAGGTTATTTGGGCAAATTCATCACGAGAACTTTAATAAGGTGACACATTGTGTACATAAGGATGAAAGAATGAAATGAACAACGCCTGCTTATACAGTCCTTTGAGTTGAATACCAACTAGGGAACTAGCCATCCATGCAGACTACAAAAAAACAATGTCCAATATTAGATGGAGAGATGAGGAGCATGCCTGGCAGAGAGGCCAACTCATCTACAATCAAATTGCAAAATTGGTATGCAGTAAAGCGGATTTGTCTCATAGAGCATCTGCTGCTGTAGAACGGCTGCCAGTTGAGCATGTTTATGATTTACAAGCAGCAGAGATCCACATCATTAGATTAAAGTTACATTTTGGTTGTTATTATCAGCATGGATTGAGAATTGATTTAGCGAATCAGTTCAAGTCACATGCCCTGCAAACCAATGTGTAGCTGGATATCTGCAGTGACATCACAAATTGAAAACAAGGTAAAGTCACATAATGCATCATTATCCCAGGAAAATAACATTGGCTGTAAGCATTCATTACTTTTAGAGGAAGTAATGCAATGTGTGCAAATATGCTCAGAATCAATCCGAAACCCCGCTGCATAAACTCACAGGCTCATTGGGAGATTAATTTAATATTGATCTAGGCCAAATTACTACACCATTCCCGAATTGAAAGCAGACAGATGCACGAGAGAGAAAAATGAATTGAAAAAAGGTATTTAATATAAAACCTGATGGAAGGAGCTTTTTAATGTATTAGCAATATGATCATTTTAAATCAAAATCTATAGTGTCTTTTGAATCATGCAAATAAATTAATGTCGGACACGTTTTAATACAAAGATGCACATGTCTGGATGGTGACACACTTTTGGTTTTGCCATCTGCTAGACAGGATCATTTTATCCAGATAGCTGAATGCTGGTTGCTGTCGTCATGTGGCAGAGACGTCTAAACAGCCTCAGAGAAAGCAACCACTTCTATACTTTCCTGCTTTTAGACGGGCTACTGGGTTGACGTACAATGTGTGAGTCACAAAGGCTGAACATCTGATTATCTCTACATACCAGAACAGAAGTATATTATTATGTGCACAGCTGTATGAAATGCTGTGCTTTGTATTTGCTGAAGTAGTCTTGTATGTATACACAAACTGTACTCAGGAGAGATGTGGGCTGAAAAGAGCGACCGATTTGTATCTAGGCAACTGCTGAGTTGAGATTTAGATTGCTTTATTCCTAGGAAATGAATTGTTTCAAGCTAATGGTGCCATAATGTGCCTAATCTTAATTTATTTAATTATATCTCCACAGGGATCCCCTTCTACTTATCTGTAACTGCTTTTTTATTAGGCGCTGTATGACATGCTGTAGTACTGTCACTGCAACAATCTTCAATTTGTTTTCACCTTCTAGCTCATTAAATATATAATATAGTGGTAGGTTTGATTAGATTAAGTGAAGGGTTTACTTCCATTTATTTGTCCTGAGTGTATTTGAAACCTGCTCCATTAATATGTGATGTAAAGCTATTAGAAAAGGAAGGACATTTCTCAAACTTGGCTGGAGTCACAGTATTAAATCTTCCTGCATGCATGCTGAGATCCATCTCCTCGTGAGACTTTAAACTGATTAGCATACTGTTTGTTAACTCACACAAGCAGACCTTTGGCAGTGGATTTACCTCCCCAGCACATCATTTTCACTTCATGGTTTACCAAAAATCACTTATTTCCTTTCACTCTGTGCAACAAAGCATTTGCACCACATCTGGATCTCTGAGATTTATTCCTTATTTTCTTCCAGACCATTCAGAATTGTCCACATTTTTTCCTGCCCAGTTTTATATACTTTACAGCTTTTTCCTCCAAGAGTTATGCCGTGTTTCTATCCATGTGTGTACGTGTGGTTTGGGGGTAGCAATCTCTCGTGTAGCTGTTGCTGCAGCTGAGTTGGCAGCACTCATGCACCATGGGATCATCCTGGATAGATGCTGTTATTTATGCAGCGTGTCTAAACCGATCATCCTGACACAGATTTATGTAAACACAGCAGTTTCTTGGCATAGGAAGAGGTTCACACACGCACAAGGACGAAGGAAGCTAAAGGTATTATTTCGTTTGGCTCTCCCTCAGAGGGCGCAGTGCATAAACCCAACATGGGAAATGTGTTTTAGGATCCCTGAAACTGTGGCAGGTCAAAGAGGGATGACAACTAGGTCAGTGTCGAATTTCAAGTGTAATGTAATATCTTAAGTTATATTCAAAGACAAACACACATGGTCACTAGTCAGACAAAAACAGACACAAATTCATTTTTTAATCAAACATTTTATTTGAGTTTTTATTTTTGTTTTATAAAATTATTTTACAAAATGGTGAATTTCCCCCTATCTTTCCAGTTTAATCTCTATAAAATTAGGTCTGCAGTTATGGAAGAGAGGGAAGGAAGCAGGCAGAGATTCAGTGGGGATGACATCCTGTCTCACAAATACTGTGTAAGAGAGAATTATGCATGTGGTACATGTACAAGTTCCTACAACAGAAAAGGCAGGAATGTCAGCATCAGATGTAGTGATAAGTCTTGGTAGCATTTCCAGTGTTAAACAATATCATTTAAGGAGCCTTTGTGTGTTACTGGATATTGATAAAGAAAAAAAGACAATGAAATGAAAACTAGGACCTGTTTTTCACACTAGCCAGATGAGAAAAAAAAGTGTATTTCTTCTGAAGGCACATCAATATATAACCCCCTGCCCTCTGAAACAGGACGTTAGGAAGGAGAGATAGATAGAGAACATATCATCTTAAATATTGCACCAAGTTCATTTCTGAAATGTGATTCTCTTTACGACCATATTCAGTCTTGATAGCACTGTGTTTAGTAATGCCGGGATTGTTTATCTGCTGTGAAGCTGATGTCACATTCCTTTCCCCTCTGTCTCACACATTTTACTTTCTAATGTAGACAAGGAATACTTTTAATGAACCAAACAAAAATGGGAATGCATGGCATCTCTTGTATGAATATCCTTGTAAGGTGAAAATGTGTTAAACATTTTTTATTTATGATCTATTGGCACATATTATGGTGGAGTTTACCTCACAAAATGAAAGCTACCACAGGAGGCGTCGGGGCAGGTGTGGTTAGATTGTTCTAGAGAAATGTTGCTGGCTTTAGAGCGATACTTCATGGACAGATCTGTGATTTAAAAATACATGGGCACATTTTAAATCCATAAAATTGTGTGACTAGTTTGGATAAGCTGATATGACTTATCAAGGTGGAATCAAAATGAAGCGTGATTGTTAAAAGAACAATTTGTTTTTAAGTTAATTGAATTAATTAACCCTGTGAAGTTCCACTGCTATTCAATTTACCAATTTGCAGTTAATTAGTCTCAGATCAAGATATATGACAACGACAGAATTATTAAATATATTTGGAACATCCTGGTTTCACACTTTGCCTCTTGAATGTGTTAAAGCACAATACCAATCAGAATCCAACTGAGATGAATTAGTGTTTACATTTGTGATTATCAAGGACACAATTCTGCATTCTGTTAATACTGTGTAGATTGAAAGGCTTCTTATTTCATTTATTTATGTTAAAGAAATACCACAAATTGAAAAATTTTATGCATAACTCAACATTTCCTATGCTTTTTTAAAATGTTCCACAAATGCTTGTTCAGATTTCTTGTCAGTCTGGTCATATTGTTCGTACCAAGTGGGGGAAATAGAGTAATCTTTTTGTTCTGATGCCAGCTCTGACTGAAGCATTGTTTGATGCTTCTAGATGAAAGCAGAGTTAGCTCACGTCACTTGTCAGCCTGGCCCACTGGACTAAATGAAATTGGGTTTATGGCATATAAACAATCACTGTGTATAAATATCCCTCGCTATCTAAGCTCATAGAGATTCATTGCCTTGTTGTTATTGTTTTTTATTTAAAACAGACGATTGGTTGGCTGAATTTAGCAAGCTCATCCTCTTTTAACCAAGACAACTCTTGTGATCTTCTATTATTCTCCAGGCCAGCACATATTCATGTACTAATTCAAGCTTTTCATATAAGCCTTTCAAAATTGAAGAAGAGACATGAGGAGGAATTCTTGCTAAAAATTAATATACAGAACTCAATTCAATTTCTGCATTTCTATTTC